ACGACGGCTCAGGGAGGGCCTCAGAGGCGTCACCTGGAAAAGTACATCAGACGTCAAAACAGAGCCGAGTGCTGGGGGTCAAAGGTCACTCTAAAACTGTAAACAGTGACACGGTTGGCCCTGGATACTGAGTGCCTCCTTTTTGCAGAGCTGAACCTCTTCATCTCCGGGTACTTTCTCCTCACCGCCATACTGTCCATGTAACCCCCCCCCCCGCCTCTTCCACTGGCGCTCGCAGCTCCTCATATGGCTGTGTATCGTGTTCATTCATACACAGACTGTACACGCCTCAGCAGCACGCCAAGGAGGTGACATCATCTGTTTACGCTACAGCGCGTCCTGAATGCAGCACGCACTCCCACCCTGAGTCCAGCATGAAAGCTGCTTTGGCTGAACCATAAATTTCGCCCACTGCAGTGTGAGAGTGTGAAACTGTGCATGCAGATGATAATCAGCGTGTGGAAATATGAGAAGTCCCTCTGATTTCTCTTTAATATCAGCTCTGACTCAGACGCCATCAGCTCCTCACGTCACTGTCAGCTGCTCCTCCAGCTCAGCAGCAGCTGACAGACGAACTCTGACCTCCTGCTGTGAGGCTCTCGCACCAACACGTCCCAGAAGGCTGCGCTGCAAAATCAAAGCCAGCCCTTGTTTATATACAGTCTGTGTATTTGATCCTCTGTTTGCAGCTCTCTCTCTCTCTCTCTCTGTGCATGCTTTAAGTCTCTTTCTGGAGTATTTAGCAGGTGACCTCTGACCTCTGACCTCTGCTTGGTGTGGTTTCCGAGTGGAGCTAAAGAGGAGGAAATGCTGTGGTGATGCATGAAGCAGTGAAGGATGTGTTGGATGAACGCTGCACAGCTAAACAAGGACAGCAGCGGGATGCCACCGCCACACCCACTGTGCTTCCTCCCTTTACAGGAGGAGGAGGAGGGCTGGGGCCAAGTCTCCTTTATTTACTGACCTTCCTTATTTGGAGCCACAGACAGACACTTCCCTTGGTGTCTGTGGTTTTAGGTTGAATTTCTCCTCTTTTTTTCTCCTGGCCTTTCTCTTCCCGAGGAGTCGTAAGGAGGGCGGAGCCTCTGTTGTAGGAAGTTTTGATTTGGTCGTAGTAAAGTTTCCTTTTAAGGAGAAGCAGAGACCCGGACACATTCCTCCCTCTGCCCGGCGCCTCGTCTCCAAACACTACGATACCCATCAGCCTCAGCAACCGTCTCCATGGAGAAGAGGCTCGTTACCAGGACTGATGACCTGCTCAGGAGTCACACAGGAGGTCACCTGTTCAGTGTCAGTGATGTATTTCCTGATGAACCCTCGACTCGCTCGAATCTCTCAGCCAATAGGAGAGCTTCTTTGCTCCAAACTCCAACCGATCAGTGACCTAACTCCACCCTCACCGCTTCCTCAGGAATCCGCAGCAGCCAGGTGCGGATAATCAGCTGATAATCAATCCTCTGATTATTGATCATCAGCTGTGAGAGTACGGCGACTTTCTGCAGCGTTCAGGTGTATTGACACAATCTCCTCAAGCTCAGACTCTACAGGCCTCAGTGAGCAGGTTAAAGGTCACAGGTCATGGCTGGTTTGAGAGGCACGGTTAGCAAAGATGCGTTAGAACGAAGCACCGAGTGCGCCAAAGTGTATCAGCGCGAGGCCGTCCATCCCAAACCGGGTCATGAGCAGGACAAAGATGTGACCACGGCAGCAAATCTCCAGAATGTCTGAAAAAGGAAAGAATCGAGCTGCTGCAGCGGTCCAATCGGAGTGCAGAGCTCAGAGAGCTGTGCACGAACGAATGCTGCGAGCCTCGAGTGCACCAGAAGTGCTGATGAAGCCACACAGGAACCATCGTCACTGTTTCCAGTGCTGCTGACCACAGGAAGCTGAAACTGGCTCGAATGAGTCTCGCTTCGTGTTTCAGGACTCAGTGAGATCTTCATGTTTCACTCCTTCCTGTTTCTCACCTCCTACATTTCCCAGAATTCCTCTGTCCATAACACCATAAAAGGGTTGGTCTTTGCTGCCTGATGTCCGGACACAACAGTCCAAACATTCTTCTTCCTGTTTTCAGCGGCCGGTCCCCCCGCCCTGCTGTGTTTGCCTTTTTAAGGAGATGGAGCGCTGTCTCCTCCTCCTCACGCCGCTCTGCTCAGACCTTCATCAGTCTGGACGCCTTTCCCATAAACAACCACTGCCATAGAATCAGCAGACACGCCTGTGTGAGTTCAGACGTTAGCACAGGTTCGTACTGAGAGACCAAAAAATGCTATTTCCTGTGTGGAGTGCGGGCGTTAAACCTGAAGTCTGCGTCTGCAGGACAGGAAGTGAAGTTGAACACAAACACCTGTTCGTGTTGATGCTCGTGCAGGAAGTGGCTTCTGCCAGCACAGCTTCACTGTCAGTGCAGGAGCAGAGCTCGTGGCACATTTAGAGCATTAGGCTTTTATTGTGAAAAGGTCTGCTGATGGTGGAGGTGAACCCTGCAGAGGTCCACAGGAAGCTCATCGTCACAATAAAAGAAAAGTGC